TAATTAATTAATTAATTAATTAATTATTTCAGGGATGTGCCTTTCATGTTTAAATGCAATGGAAGAAAACATAAAAGCACTCTTTTTTTTTACATTTTCATGTTCTTTTGTTGATTACCAAAACAGAGCCTCTTAAACATGAATGATTCATACTCATGGAAGAGATGTACACAGAGTATTCAGTTTCTTCTTAGTTTGCCTCTTTTATTTAGCCTTTTGTTCATCCTTTGCCAATTAGGACACCCAGGAGGGGAAATGCTAGTTTTGAATCTGTATAAACTCAGAACTCAGTGAGGAGTGGCCTTTCTTTGCTTTACTCATTCCTTGTGGGTGTGCAATCTCCTGGTACTCTAGAATTATGCTGCTGCCTGCTTCTGTGCCTCCATCTTGGGCCCTTTCCTTTTTTGCCCTTTTTTCCTTGATATTTTAGGGGATCCCCCCCCCATTTCTTTGAATTATTTTGGCTGATGCCACCAACACCAATGTACCTCTTTGTGATTATGTTGGTGTTTTTGTTTTTCCAAACAAGAAAGAGAGAGATAGAGAGATTTAAAGGTTAATGCTTTACTTCCATGCCATCTTTCTCAAGAAAATCGCATTCCAAATCTGCTGTTTGTCTCATTAAATAACTTATCATCCCAAGGTTCTTGTCAAGTTGGATAAACAACCAATTGGGGACAAGGATTCAGGAGTGGGCAGGTTGTACAGGTTAAGGATTTGCTCTTGCACACTGGCCTCAATAGTCAAGTCATTCTGACTTTTTCTCTTTTAACAGTCATTTTAAGACACAGGAAATTTGATTGTCGTTCTCCACTGCCATATTTAATACAGCTCTTTATCTTCTACTCTGGGACATTTTGTTATGGCTTTTAAAAAGACAGAGGGCACGCAGTTCAGGAATCAGGAACAAAACATGAGGTTTTACACACACCAGCTCCCACAGCTCTTAACAAAACTCACCTAAGGTTTCTCACATTTCTCTCAAGAATGTACTCCCAAATGCACTTTGATTGTCCCTTTGGGTAAAAATACAATAAGCATTTAAAGTAAAAGAGTCTCAGTAGCAAGGTTGAAGAAGAGTTGCCATCTAGAAACCCACAGGAAGTTGTAGATGGAACCGGACTCAGATGTTTACAATTATGATAAGATTCCCTCCCTCCCTCCTTTTCTGTCCCTCTCTTGTGAAGGACTTTTGCTTTTGATGCTTACCTCCTGTTAGCATAAGGGCACACTTGCACATACAGTTGTCATTGTCAGCATCTTTGGTACTGAAGTCAGCCCCATGCAGTATCAGGCTGCTCTGTTTTCCTGCTGTCCCTGAATGACCCTTCAGATAAAGCCTAAAAGAGAAAGGAGGAATTAAGAAGGAGAAAGGACGTATGTTATGGAACAGAGTTACAAAGGTCTGTATTTGACTTGGTAGTCAAACCCACTATAGAAAATTTCTGCAGTCCTAGATAAACTTTGGTTTATGGGGGGGAGGGATTTTAATGACAGGTTTTATTAATTAACTGCTTGACTTGATTTATATCCCACTCCATCCATGACTTTTAGACACTGGGCAAATCCAGTTAGTCTAAATAAAAATAAAATAAACACATTAAATGTCTTAATTGCAGTGATCTTTGTGGTTAGGGGACAGTTAGTTTGCTCTGCACGCAAGAGGCTGAGTGTAAATCTGTAAACTGGAAAGCTGAAGGGGATAGGAGATTTCATGTACTTCTATCATCTCATCATCATTTATATTTTACATTTATTTATTCTTTATTTATTCATTCATATTTATACCCCACCTTTCTCTTTCCATTAAATTTATAAACTAAAAAATATGAGACACAGAAACCAAGGGGAGGATCAGAAAATTACACAAGAAGGGGATTTGTTAATAAGCTTTAAATAGACATTTGCATTCCTGTTGAGGTGAGGTTATCTTTCTTATTGCTTTTATTGCTCAAACAGCAATTGATGGTTCCTGTGTATTTCACAGAAGGATGCTGGCCATAAAATTCTTTCTTCTTTTCTGGAACCTCAGAGCCAATGGCTGAGCTTTCTCGCTACCTTTAGAGTAGCTAAAGGTACCTCCTGCAGCTCCTTCATCTCTGGCAGATGGGTGGGGACTGACTGGTAATAATCTTCTTGTGGGGCATGGATGGAAGCCTCCCTATGGTCCCAAATGCATTGTCTGATGACAGAAGGCAGAGTATATCCCTTCTGCTCTCCAAAATATTCTCACATAAAAAGAATTTTGTAGTGAATGGTGAATAAGGAAAAGAAGAAGACAGTTCTCCTAGCCAGGATGATTTGGGGATTCTTCTGTCTTCTCTTCCAGCACCCAACCTGAAGAATAATCTAGCAAGACTCAAAAACTCACCTATTTTAAATATTTTTAGTGGTATGGTGGATAGAGTGTCAGACTATGAATCAGGAAACATGAATTAGAATCCAGCTCAGCACTAGAAACGTACTGGGGGATGGCAATGATGAACCACTTCTTGAACGTGTCACTTCAAAAAATCTGGTCGAGTCACCCTAAGTCAGAAACAACTTGACAATATATGACAACAACAAAGTGATCCAATGAAAGTATTATCCACTCTTGTTTTGTAAATTAACTTGGGAATATTCTTCTGAAAAGATATTTACAGCTTTGCATTGTGAATCATGAGTGGGCAGGCAACATAGTTTGAGATCTACTTTCCTTTTCAGGACAACCCCAGATATATCAACCATAGACAGGTGCAAATGAGGTTTTTAGAAGAAAATGAACCAGGTGTTAACAACTACTCACATTTTTTTCCATCCTGAACAACAACAAAAAGCAAATCTCAGTGTAAGCCATTCCCCTTCCACGCAAGAGCAATATCGGCAAAAACAGCTTTTTTGCACACCTACATTTTACACACCCTTGCATTTTGAATAAAACTTTATATTTTGTGCAAAAATAGAAGGTTTGCTTGCAAAAGGAAATTAACATGGTGCTATGCAAAATACAATTTTTCTTGCACAAAACCACGCTCTGTACATTTTTCACAAAAGAAGTCCCAAAAAGGACCCCACCCAGTCATAATCTCACCTAACAGCGAGAAAAGTTTTAATTTTTAAAAAAATTCTCATTAGCAAGATGAAGATATACAATATATGGCTACTTTGAGAGTAGGAATTTGCTTCCAAGACCAGAGTTGAATAGCTGAATAACTGCCATGGCTATTCTGTACATAAATATGGCTCTAACTATTACAGGCTTTTTGCATTTCAGCTGCCAAAGAGAAGTGAACAGAAGAGTTATTTCCTTACTGTTGTTATTAAAAAAAGTGGAAGCCAGGAACTTTTGCTAACCTGCTCCTGCAACTTACTAAGGCTCTACCAGTAGATTCAGATCAAAGCTTGGAAATATTACTGTTTTGGACTGCAGCACCCAGAGTCCCCTAGCTATACAGTATCTGGGAGTGATGCTGCGTTTCTATTGAAATATTTCTTTCTAAATAGATAGAAATAATTCCAGGGGGGTAAAAATAGGGTGATGTCTTAAAAAGAAGGCAACCAATCTAAATGGGTTTTGATCAGTGACATGCAGGGAAAGGCAAACATTCAACATAAATGCTCACAAGGATAAAATGTCTTGGGAAGAAAAATAAAAACAAAGAAAGATTGATCATAAAATCACCAAGCTTTATGAGCCACAGTTGAAATGCTGTGCAAATTAAATGTTGTTTTCAAAAGCAATATGCAGGCTAAGTTTGGGAGCAATACCGTTAAACCCGATCTGCCACTCTTCATGTAATGTTTTTTGGTTGCTGCCTGAATGTAAACAAACTAAATCAAGATCAGCTTGGATACTGATGGCTTTCTTTGGTATAGAATCTTTCTATTTTCCCTTCCAGAGGAAAATAAACTCCTTTAGAGTGATGGTGATAGAAAAATGGCTCTGGATCATGGTATCTACAAGTGTATTTTAAAGTGTCATAGATCCTCAGTATATCATCCTTGCCCAGGCTCACAGAAGTCCATGTCAGCATTTTTTTAAAATGAAAAGAAACCTAGCTTGCCATTAGTTAAACACATCTGGCTAGAAAATCCCACTAAGAAGGTAACAGACAAAATGCTGATATGCCAGAATTTCCTTATTGGGAAATGTGTTGGCCTTAGCACCAGCATAAATGTGATGTTGGAAATCTGTAAACAAAGAAGTGAAAATCTGTTGGCTTCATTTTCTTGATATTTCTCAGAAGCCCATCGAAATTTATGTTCGGTTTCATTTTCAGACTCAGTTGCAAGACTTTTCTTCCTGTACAAAAAATGTATATATCTTTTTGGCAAAAATAAAAATAACCCAAGAAACGTACTAATTCTTGTATGCAATTCTATGCTATTTCCCCCACTGAATAAATTGTGTTTGTGTGCATTTTTCAAATTACCATGCTTATCAGTAATTATGCATTTTCCAAATACGCACATAGTTTTCTGATCATTTTTTCCCCATTGCTGGAATACACCAGGCAACTCAGAAATGTAGGAACTTCTGTGGCAAGAGATACTTTGTCCATTTGCCAGCTTCATAAATTGCAGGGATTTTTAAAATAAGAAAATGAGAATCCAAAGAATTTCTTTTCAGTCCTTGCCCACGAAAACCCAATGAATTTCTTTCCAGCTCTTGCACATAAATAAGTAGGATCTCTTGCAGTGTGCTCCAGTGATAATGGCAGTTTTGCTTTGTATGATTTTTTTTTTTGCTTTGTATTGCTATATTTTCTAATACATATATACTCTAAAGGTAATGTATCTGGCCTTGAACTTTCAACCTTGTGATGGTCTGTCTGTGATATTGAGGTTGAGAAACATTTTGTTCGAATACTGAGTTTATTAAAAGATGTTGAGGGAATGTGCTATAAAATTGCATGTTAACAACTGTAGTTAATTTAATTTCTGGTAACTCTGAAAAGAAAGTATTGAATGTTGAGCCTTAAATGAATATTGAATGGACTGGGATCATGGTGCGGTAGGAGAGGGGAAAGTAACCATTTCCCCTCTCATTTTTCTTTCCTTGTTAAATTCTTTATCTCTGGGTGGCTGTTTGCCATAGGTGCAAAACATAACAGGCATCTATATGACTCATCAGTATTTAATCCTGGGAATTAACAGCAGTTTTTCAGTGAGAAGAGAATATTTTCAGTGGAAGGACTGCACACCAAAAGGGTAAATCCTTCTCTCCAACACACTGCTCCTAATCCAAATAACCACACTCAAGTTTGTGATGTAAATACTTTCTTTAAACACAATAATGGGCTATCATATGTGGAAGTCTCTAGCATTATTTGTAGCTTAGTCCAAAAAATAAAATAAAATAACCCATTTTGCTTAAATGTGAATTCCTCAACTGATTTATCCCAAAAAGAACCTTCACATTTACCATGTCATTTAACAAATGGTTAAAAGTGTGTGTGTGTGTGTGCGTGCGCGTGTGCGTGTGTGCATGTGCACGCACACGTGCGCACATGCACCCCTTTCCCCCAAAAAATTCTGTGTCAATTTCAACTCCTGTTTCATTACTTGGACATTGAAATATTTGCTGTAAAGTGAGTTCCAACATATGGTAACCTTCTCAGTGTTTTCAATGTGTGAAGTACTCAGAAGAGATGTAGCCATCCTTCCTTCTGGTGGCACACTGGATTATGCAACTTCCCAAAGGCTGCACAGGTGGCAGAGTATGTAACCCCCTCCACCCCAAACTCTACACAGATGATTCTGGGAAGAACAGTAGGGATTTGAACTCTTGGCCTCTGGCTCAGCATCCAGACACCTTGTCCTGCTGAACTATATCAGCTACAGATGTGAAGAACTGCCAGTATTATTTTCTCCCAGATTCATTTTTTAAACCTTGAGTGCTTTCTCTCTGAAACATGAAATGTCATTTTCAGCCATTTGCACTTGTCAAATGAAATAGGTATAGCTATTCCCACCAGGGGGAGAAAAGTGTGCTGTAGGTATCTGCCAAACAGAAGTTATGGATGAGGATCCTCTAAGGAAAAAAAAGAAGTGGCAATGCTAATTCAACACCATTATAGCCAAATGCACACAAATTCAAACATAGAGATTTACAAATTCAGTGCTCAAAGAACGTAGAGATATGCTTGGAAAAACTGTAAATGTTAAATTAGTCAGTGAAAATGGGGGAGATGGTCTTTAATTTTTCATAATTTACCATCATTTGAAAAATGTCTAATATGAGATAGAACGAACCTGAGGCTTAATGAACTTGGGTATGAAATCAAAAGATTTTCCAGACTCCTGTTTGCTGGGCAAAAGGGAAAGGATCTAAATCCAGATGTTGTCACCCTGCCAT